GGTTTTAGACCCCGTGCTTGATTATGGAGGTTGACTTTGGACCACTCAGTTACTCTCGGCCGAGCTCTGCTGTGAAGGAAAATAGGGTGAAAGCTTCCTATATATGCTGCCTCGAGCTTCTGAATGAAAGACAGGATAGAAATCTAATAATAAATATATCAATATGGTTTCTTAAATGATAGGAAAAACAGGTAGAAAAATTAGTTTTTATCATTGCCCTCAGGCCTTTTGCAAATTTATGGATGGTTGATCCAGAAAATGTTGTCTGCCTTTGGTTTAAAAGTATTTATGATAACCCATTCTGATGTTTGCCTAAAAGGCAAAGCTAAAAAGAATAAATAGTAAAAATAAAATTAATAAAAGAAGAAAGTAAATCTGATTAGAATTCCCAATAAAAAGGACAGCTAAGATCTTGTCCTATAATTAATACAAAAATAAGATGGCCAGAGTCAAATGGGAGTTTTTAGATTTATTTTTCAAAGTATTTCATTCTCCATACCACTATTCTTGTAAGAATTCAGCCTAGAAATTATTTTTTAAGGGCAACAGCTTCCAGTTTGTAATGTAGATATTATTAAAATATTAAGTCTTTCATATGTGGTTGCTGTGATTAGAGCTAAACATAATATCCCAGTCTAAATGAAAACATTGCTCATTTTAAATGAAACAAACTTTTACACTGTACCAATGGTGGAAATCAGAGCTACAGATGACAGTTTGATAAGAGTTGCTATAGTTCTTGTGAATCTGGAGTACCATGTGTTATGAACCTCTAATAGAAACTTTGCGGATGTTGTGAAATGGACTTTTATGAAATATTGAACAGAATGAACGGTGGAATGATTTTTCTGATTGAAAAAAAAAGATCAGCTGACCACTGTGCTTTGCAATTTTCCAGGTATAAGCAATGGCAAAGAAGTTGACTGGATGGATTCTCAAGGAGAAGAGCGACTTCTTTGGCAGAGAATGATTGATTGTCCTGGAGATTCTGTAGAAGGTGTATTAATGCTGAGATCCAGCATGGGGAAACGCAGACTCTGAGGAGTATGGTTTGCATAACACTGACATTACAGTAGTGTGATTTTAAATTGTAATAAGATGTAATGGAGACTGGTCTCCTGTCATGATTTGCACATATAAACGTAAGGAAGTTTACTTTTACTCTGAATTTAAATTTTCTGAAATGGATTATGAATGCATTCAGCACTTTCCTAAATCCATACTGTAGCTCTTGTATTAATTTACCCAGGCTAAATCAGTAAAGTCATCTCCAAAACAAGATTTGCTGAGTTGTTAGAATGAGGTCATATAATACCCTCTACAGAACATGTCTCAGACATTTCCTTTATTATTTCAATATGTTTTCTCAGAAAGATATATCAGTGATTGATAAATTAATGAAAAGTCATTGAGGCTAGTTCATTATAATCCCATTTCAAATAAGCCTAATGAGTTTGGGAAGTGAGCGCCAGGATTGAAGGTACGCTCTAGGAGTAATTATATTCCTACTTTTCTCAGGCTGCTATCCACAAATGGTTCCTAATAGATTTTGTAATAAAGAGTTAGAGAGTCTCAAGTTACCTGCTTATAAACAGAATGGCATGGGTTAAAGGTATTGTATTGCTAGTATTGCTAATAATAATCTCTATGGAGTTGCGCCTTTTGCATTTCAGCACTTTCTACAAAAGTGAAGGTATAAAAGTATTAAATAGCCACTCAAAAGGAATAGGTGATGTCATATTTGATGTTCTACTGTACAGATTCTTCAATGTTTTTGTTTTGTTTTGACCAAGATTATTGTGAAAGACTGCAAAATAGCAAGCACAGAATCTGACTTCGGTTCTAAAACAGGTATTAGTAGTGACATCCTAGCTTTCTTTACGAGTCTCTAAGAGGGAGTTTCTACAACCTACTAGCTAATTGCACTGTAATTCAGTTAGGATCACTTCTAATCTTTCAGTGTAAAACTACCTCCCTGTCAGAAATTATGAATGGAGTATATAGCCAAAACCTGTTTTAAGCACTTGTCAATGTTAATATTACTATTCATAATACCCCATCTGTTCCTTCTGTAGTGCACACCTAGATCCTTCAGCCTTTTTTTTTTATTTTCATGAAGAGTACATTGCTATGAGGGGTGTGATGGCTCAGCAGTTCCTGCCCACCTAGCAGTTTGAAAGCATGCAAATTCAAGTAGATTAATAGATACCACTTCGGTGGGAAGATAACAACAATCCATGTGCCTTTGGCATACAGCCATGCTGGCCACATGACCACAGAAAATGTCTTTGGACAATGCTGGCTCCCTTGGCCAAGAAAAGGAGATGAGCACTCCCCTAGAGTTGGACACGCTGGACAGGGAAACCTTGACCTTTTTCACCTTTACATTGCTATGAAGATCTATGTCAGGCAGAGACATGAGCAGGTTTTCAAATATAGCTTTTACTCCAGTTACAAATTAAAATTTAAATTAAATTAAATCTTTATTGTGGCCATAAACCAGCATAAGGAGGATGGGGTAGTCAATTAAAAAGCACAAAAAATACATCAGAGTCTAGTAATGATGAAAAGCTAGAAGATATAAAAATACATTAAAACAAAGTATATATAAAAAACAAGAATATAAAAGAGGTAAAGCATTATATGGGTGTAGGGGAACATAAAAGTTAGTATATGGAAGACTGGTATGAAATGACAGAGCATTTCAGTATGTTATAAATCTATCATTAAGTCTAGTTTGTAGTACAGGTGATAGCAACCTTGTATAGTTGGTATCTGAAAGCAGCAGGGAGTGTAGACTCGACTTATGTGCCCTGGGTATTTATCCAGTAATGGTGAGATAAGGCTAGTACAAATATTTCTGCAGTGGGTACAGGCATTAAAGATACACATGCTTTGTTGCTTGTGTGTGTCCAGAGTTATAGAGACATTGTCTCTCCAGGTAGGGAATCTTCTTGTACAGATATTGATTCTATTTGGGATTTTTTTATTATTGTGCACTTGTACAAAAAACCTTTGTCACTACTATAATGATTATCTTGAAAAAGCGCGCTACCTAAATTATTCAGGTGGCACCTCATTGTACTGTTACTGTCTTAGTTCTACAGAAAAGTAAGCAATCAACCAGGTTTCATGATCCTGTTTGGCTCTTTTTGCAAAGGGATTCATTCCCCCCCCCAGCTTGTAAGAATTTCTAAAGTTCAATCAGTGATACAAGATTATGTATAATAATGTTTTTGAAATAAACAGATATTGAAAAGACTATATATTTAAACTTTCCCTGGCTAAATGGATGGCATCAAGAATGAATTATACCATGCCATATCACACCATAGCATACAAATTATACTATATTGTACTATAATTCTTAGGGATCTTAAAAACTATTTTAAAGCCACACATAATAGATTATGTGTGGTTAACACATAAGTGACAGCCAATTTGGTCTGCTGGATAAGGCACCAAGTTAGAAACCAGGAGACGGTGAGTTCTAGTCCTACCTTAGGTATGAAAGCCAGCGGGATGATTTTAGGTCAATTACTTTCTCATAGTCCAGTGATGGCAAACCTTTTAGAGACCGAGTGCCCAAACTGCAACCCAAAACCCACTTATGCATCGTCGGGTGCCGGGTGGGTGTGGCCCATTGGGTGGGCGTGGCTGTGGTGGTAACAGCAGACTGGGTGGGACTAAAAAGTTCAATCAATCAATTCCAACTTTGCAAGATCTTTTTTTTTTCCTGCGAGAAGTTGAAATTGACTGATTGATTGAACATTCTTTTTTTTTGTACATGGCAGAGGCCTAAAGCGAAAAGGTTTTATAAAACCCAGCTGAAGGCCTAGGACTGGGGCGACGGCATGCATGCCCACAGAGAGGGCTCTGAGTGCCGCCTCTGGCACCCATGCCATAGGTTTGCCACCACTGTCATAGTTCATGATGTCAGGTTTGGGCAACAAGCCAGTCAGTCAATACCTGACCCAATCACTTGATAAACACTTGGTTGATCAAAAAAAAAAAAAAAAAGCTAAGAAGAAAAAAATGTGGTTAACATATAAATTGCCAATAAACTGATTTGTTTTTGGCTTATTATTTATAAATCTGGCTTGATTAAATCATAATTTAGATTCAACTAAATTATGTAAATCTAAAACTGTAAATTTATAAAAATGACTTCTGAGTCATATTTTTTTTAGCATGGAACTGCATTAGTATATATTTGAAATTTATTGTTTTTTTCCATGAAATGTCTTGATGTTTTATGAAAATACTGTGAAACACCAACTTTCACCCAAAAAGCTGGGCTGAGTGAGTGAGCGTAGATTTATATTAACACCAATCTACAGAGTGAAAAAATGATTTTATTTCACAAATGTTGTTGTATTTTAAACAAATATGTGAAACAATGAATGATTTTTACTTCTTTTTTTTCAAATTATTCTGATTTGTTTGCCTGTTTCCATTTTATGTAGTCTTCAGATTTCTATTTGTATTTTAATTCAAAATAAGATTAAAAAGTACTATTATTTTCAACTTATATGAAGGTGAGAAGGCTAAGAAAGACTAGTTTAATTAGTCACCTTTGCTAGAATTGTTTAATTCATATTAGCTACCAGCTATTGTTGAATAAAGCTGGTAGCTTTTAAGACATTTCTTTTCTTGTTTTTTCTCTGCATATTGTTGCACAGACAGTCAACCATTTTACTGATATGTTTTGCAACTATTTCATTTCCTCCTGTTTATAGATTCAGTGTATATTTTGTTTTTAAAATCTTAACATCAGGTAATATTTCTAAAATTATAAACTCTTTAACAGAATAACAGATTTGGAAGGGACCTTGGAGGTTGTCTAGTCCAACCCCCTGCTCAGGCAGGAAACCCTATACCAAGGGTGTCAAACTGCCAGCCCATGGGCCGGATGCATCATAGCAAAACCACGCCCACCCCATTGCTGGGAATGGCAAAAAAGTCACGATACGTCACAACACATCATGTGATGTTGCAAGTTTGACACCCCTGCCCTATACCATTTCAGACAAATAGCTGTCCAGTCTCTTCTTAAAAGCTTCCAGTGTTGGAGCATTCACAACTTCTGGAGGCAGGTTGTTCCACTAATTGTTCTGTCAGGAAGTTTTCCTTAGTTCTAGATTGGATCCCTCCTTGATTAGTTTCCATCCATTGCTGCTTGTCCTGCCTTCAGGTGCTTTGGAGACTAGCTTGACTCCCTCTTCTTGTGGCAGCCCCTCAGATATTGGAACACTGCTACGAAGGCACCTTTAGTCCTTCTTTTCATTAAATTAGACATACCCAATTCCTGCAACCTCCAGTACCTTGATCATCTTTATTGTTCTTCTTTGCACTCTTTCTAGATTCTCAACATCTTTTTTATACTGTGGCAACCAAAACTGGAGTATGGGCATTATAAAGTGGTATTAACACTTCATGTGATCTTGATTCTACCCCGTTAATGCAGCCTAGAACTGCACTAGCTTTTTCAGCAGCTACAGCACACTTTTTTTTTTTTTTTCAAAATTTTTTTTTATTATTTTCAACATAAGAAAAAAAGCAATCACAAGTACATCACAATTGCGAAAAACTCCCTCCCCACCCCCCACCCGGACTTCCCAAACCTAATCCCAGGATACTATTCATCTAAAAGTAACCTTATATTAATATCCCTAACTCCACAAAGTATAATTCTACATAAGTAGGTGAAATATATGTATATATATAGAAAGAAAAAAAAATTTTTTTTTATCTAAAAACCTAACCTATATTCCACCATTCTATGCTTATTTTGAATATAAACAATCCATCTTCTCCATATTGATAAAAATTGTTCATTTGAATGATCCTTCAAATAAGCCGATATCTTTGCCATTTCAGCAAGATGCGAAACCTTCACTCTCCAGTCCTCTATTGTAGGTAAAACTTGACTCTTCCAATTTTGAGCTATCAGCAAACGGGCAGCAGTTAAACAATACAACATCAAATTCGTTTCTTTTACATCCAGATTATGTGTAATACCTAGGAGAAACAACTGAGGCAAAAAAGAAATTCTTCTTTTAAAAACTTGCTGTAAATTCCACCATAATTTTATCCAGAAGGCTTTAATAACCTTGCAAGTCCACCACATGTGAAAAAAAGTTGCATCTTGTTGTCCACACCTCCAGCACTTGGATTCATAATTCTCATAAATGCGAGACATAGTTGCAGGATCCATGTGCCATCTATAAAACATCTTGTAAAAATTTTCACGTAAATTTTGTGCCTGCGTAAATTTCACATTTCTCACCCATATCAACTCCCAGGTATCCATAG